CTAGTTCTAGTTCATCCTTAGACCACTGATCAACAGGATTAGGTTTAATGCCTTCTTCATCAACAACAGTGTGTTCTTTCCAGCCTCTAACTACAGCTATCCACACTCTTTCATCTAAGGATTTTAAAAAGGCCCTAGTCCTAGGTTTTCAATAGGGATACTTTGGTCCTACTAGCATGGGTGGACGATTTGTTGAACCTCCTTCGTTAAAGAAACTCATTATGATGACAAGGCAATTTGAACAACCAATAAGAACAAAATTAGATTAGTTCAAATTAAAGGCAAGCAAGAGCAGATCAATAGAATACAAAATACGATCAGATGTTAAAAACAAACCAGAAACATAGCATACCAAATCAAGGCACAAAAATCACTCAACAAACAAGATCAACTGAAATAACTTATCATAACTTGCTCTGGTACCAATTGAAAGAGTTTATGGACTCTTTTTAACACACTTAGGAATAAGTAATAGTGAGTGATTAACATCTTTCCTTGATGTTTACCAATTCAACAACTCAATCAACCAACCATGGGCGCAAAAATAAAGAACATAGAGATTTACATGGTTCAGCTAAAATCCTTTTAGCCAACATCCATGGAATCTCATCTAGATGAAACAAATCTACTATAACAAACACAATTACAAGAAAATCCAGAGTCAAAGTTAAGTACAACAAAGTAAAACACTCCCTATTCTACTAGACTCTAACTTTGACTTTGCCCTCTGATTCCTTAAGTGTTCTACTACAACAAGTTTTCGCCCAAGACACCGCTTGGTTAGCTCAAACTTCACTTGAGCTACAATGGCGAATCTCTTCTTTCAGCTCCATAGCTTGTCTCTCTTCAAGCTTTCAATAAATGGAACAACTTTCCAAAACTCAACCACAAATAAGTTGATCGTTAATAGACTCAACAAAAAAAGGCACCTGTGCAAGAATATACTCTGAAAAATTCAGAGCAAAATGAAAATCGAAACCAGGTTATAGATGCAAGGAAGAAGATGACACTTTTTATATCCTTGCAAGAACCAATCTCCACCGTACACATGTGAGAACCTTTTACCAACTTTTTTGGACCACTCTAAAAATAGAGTGACACTTGTAAAGTGACTTATCACACAAGTCTCACGAAAAGAAAAAAAGATAAAAAAAATCTTAAAAAAGGACACCTATACAGAGAGAGAAATGGTTAATAAAATGTTTACACATAAATCGGAAATGTGCCACACTTTTTGTTCAGTACGATCATTTGAACAAGAGGCAATGCATGAACATACAAGAAGATGTTACGACATGGGTAAACGATTAAAGAAAATCACAATTATGCTTAATAACAGTTTTAACATATTTCATAAGTTGACAAATAAAACTTACAATCTACACATATTCATTATTAAACAAATGATAATATTTTTTTAATTTAATTTATAACAAGTATTAACGTTTTGATTCTAACCTACACATTTTTTTTTTTTAATTTTAAATTTATCAATTGTTATTTCAGCCAAAACGTGTGGGGATTAAAGGTTTAGAAGAGCAATAGCAATAGTTATGCCTACGGTAGTAGCCAATCTCCTTGTACTACATGACCAACAAATTGTTATTTATTAAAATAGACACATGATGCAAGAAGGATTGACAACTAACACAAATACTTGTCCAAGGATTGACTCTCACTCGCTAATGATATAAGGTGTAACAAAATATTTTTAAGAATTAAATTAATTGTCACTCTTAAGGTTTAGCATAAAAATGCATTAAGCATGCACTAGTCAATCCAAGTAAAAAGTCAAATACACACAAAACTTGTCTAAAGAAATAGGTTTGAAGTAAAACTACCATGAATCCCATCAACAGTAACAACTTTAATTCTTAATTTCACCTATATAGCCCATCAAAAGATCACCATCACCACTCCTCAATCATCTAAATTTCATCAACTAATCCATCAACTAATCATCTTGTTCACTCTATCGTTACGGCTCTCATCTTTTTTTGTAGCTTTCGCGTAACAACAGCTTCTCGACACTTGTTGAATGATGACCTAGAAAAGCCATCGACAATGTCATTTGAAACACTTCTTGACCTGACTTTCCCACTACCTTCAGGGACAAATAAAACGCCAATACCAGAAGACATTTCAATGTTGCCAACATTGCCAATATCTTTCCCAGAACCAGAGCCAACATTGAGTAGCCCCAGCCCATTGCAGTAGGTTGCATGCAACTTCACAGCTCCAATGGTTCCTTCACTTCCTAGCTTGGCCCCTTCTTTACTTTTCATCTCCACCTTCCCCTTTGGCCCCGGATTCAATAATTCCAGCTTAACTTCTCCCCCAAACAACCCATAATCACACATTCGACAGTAGAAATAGTATATATTACTAGTCTTTGTTCTTTCGGTATAGAATAAGAATATGAATATTGTAGAAAAATCTTTATTATCAGAAATTTTTATGAAACCGGAGGAAACATTATCCAAATTTACTTCAATAATATTGGCTTCTGATATGTTCCTCTCATAGACATTGATTGCATTGTAAAATCATGTATTTGGGTGATAGGAAACCTTTAATGCTCAATGTGTTTAATCTGGTGTAATTTTTGTTTTTTGTTTTTTGTTTTTCTTTTTGGTATACTTTAGTAAAAAAATTAAAAGGTTCGAATGTTGAATTTTAGTAATGCTTGGACTCATCAAGTAGTGTTTATTATATATTTGTTCTTTATAGATAATAATATGTCTGTATTAATTTCTATAAACTGAGTCGCTCTAATAGACTAGAAATTTCCCATTAATGTTTAAAAAATGAGAAATTATATTAAATGACACTAATTTAGCTAATAGAGTTGAAAAATAATACTTTTTGAAAACTCTCTCATAAAATAGCAAAATGACATTTTACACAGATATGAAGGATGAAAATACCCTCATATATAAATAAACTTTAACCCATTCACTCATCTTCTTCTAGTTTAGACCAACCTTTACCTCCATTGAAGAATTTGAAAACCAAAGCTATTAATAGAATATTTATTCGATTTTGTGTTTAAGAAACATGTTAATTAGAATTTTTTTTTTTTTTTTTTTTTTTATGTAGATAGAGTTTCTATCGATTAATCGATAAATCAGAAATAGTTTGTTTTGTTTTAGAACTCAATCTATATTGGGTTTTATTGGTCATCGATAGAAACCGACAGGGTTATCAAATAAAGTCCCGAAAAAAAACAAACTCAATAAAACATATATTTCTCAATTGATTGATAAATGTCTATCAGTTTTTATCGTTTAACTGATGGATACCTATCAGTTGGTTGTTTATCGGTTACTCTGAGTTTTTAAGGAGTAATTTGATCAACAGATACTGAACAAGTCCCAAAAATGAGTTATTTAATATAGTTTCCCTTTTCTTTTAATAACGATTATCCCTACTCTCTTTCTTCATCACAAACATAACCCATTGTTAGAGAGAATATGAGTCTAGTGTCTTCTTGCTCACTACTTCCTTCGTTCGCTGTTTTCTTCTTCTCCTTGTATCAATGGTGGCTGTCTTCTAGATGAAGTGACGGCAGTCTCTAAATTTTTCCAAAATTCCTCTTCTATCATCACAAACATAATCAATCTTGAGAGAGAAAATGATATCAGTTTGTTAATTCATGAAACTGGGCATTACACAAACTGATCAATCTTATCTTTAGCTGATCATGATATTTCCATCCCCTCTCCTTAAGTTTTAATTTTTCTTTTTCCCATATTGCTGATTTAGGTGATAATCTATGGTAATATGATGCATTGAAGATATGTATGCATCTGTCTGTATTGTTGAAAATTCGCCTTCAATGTTTTGCTGTGTATATATTTTTTCTCTCCTTGTGGTGCCATGAAAGGGCCTATCATCCTTTATTTAAACAATTGTAGATTGAAGATTCGCTCTTTCTTTAAACGACTATGCAGAAATTAAAAAAAAAAAAGGTGTAAGGGCCTATCTTACTCCTGGAATATTATCGAGCAGATATGATGGAGCCAACATTCCAGCCTGATGCAAGCTATTGCTTTTTGAATCGTCTATAACTCAAATAATGTATTCATCCTGTTTATGAGTTTCAAGATACCTTCTGGACGTTTCAAAAATTGATGAGGAATCTTGAAGCATAACATAAAATTAAGGCATTGAAGCTGAAATAACAGCCTGATGCGCCCGTACATACTTGTTAGAATTATTAGGATCACGAACCCAAATAATTTCACTCATATTTGGTGTCTCTACAAATACCATCGTAAACTCTTACTTTTTCTATTTTCCCTTTCTTGCCTGCTCCTAGCACCAGATTGTTGTGATGTGAAAATGAGAATATGCCATTAGTCAAGCGTACAATGTCACCTGCCTCAAACGCCTCACATTCATTTTGCCAGAACTGGAAGTTAAACTACAGCTGTCTCGTCGGCCACAACCCCCAAACAGGTTTTGTACTGCCCTTCCATTGTCGTTGTTTTGCTCTTGTCTAGGATTATGAACTGCGTATTTATGTTATTTTGAGTTGACGGTTCTATGTCTTTAAGAGATACCATACTTAATCCACTCGTTTCAAATTTCATTCGATCATTTCTACAAACATCTTGAGGAACAATTATTATCAGAGTCTTATCTGTTTAATATTATGAAAAAAAAATAAAAAATAAAAAAAAAATAAGAAGAAGAAGAAGAAATGAGGGTTAGCATAGCAAGCAGGAAGTGAGGAAAGGGGAAGAAGACAGAGAGAGACATACGATAGGCCTTAGCCTTTCTCCAAAAGTGGTGGTAGTCGGGTGAGGCCTTTTTCCAAACAGAATATTTTTTTTTTTTTTTTTTTTTTTCCAGCAACCAATTCTTAGTTTAAGAGCAATCTTAAAATGGCTTCAAATTTCAATACGGGTGGTAAGTAATGTTGGATTAACATTATACAACAAATATACAACATTACAACATGTATAGTTCGGGAGAAGAAGAAAGGGACGCAGAAAATGGAAGTACCTGAGTCATCAGGTCGGCGGATTCGGTGGAGAACCTCAGTCGTCGGAGTCGCGGGGGTCACGGCGAATCGGGAGAGGGTCTGTCGCGATTTCAGAATTGAAATGGAAATGGGATTTAGGGTTTCAATTGATCGAATTTGGATTTTAGAATTGGGATAATGAAAAATTACATATACCCCCCTTATAGTTGTAAAACTTGCATATGTGCTGCAGAGGTTGAGTGGCGTGTTGTGGCTTGGGGGATGGATTGCGACGCTGGGTGGGTTAGAGGGGTGGGGAAGGTGATTAGGGCTGTTAAGTTGGGGATGGTGACGAGGTTATGGTGAAGATATGGCGTGAAGGATTTTGGGGCAGTGGGATGAAGAAGGAAGATAAAAATAAATTAAGTTACCATTCTATCCTTCAGTCAAAGTTAACGGACAGATCTTAACAATGAGCGTGAAATTATTATTTTTCAAACCGTTTGGGTGCGAAAAATTACTTATGCGAAACCTTAGGTGGGAAATTGTCATTCCCCCTTTATGAAGAAAATTAGTTGATCTTAGAAGAAGCCTAATTAAGCCCAATTGAAGGAAACCAGCTTAAAATGGATAACAAATTCATATGGTTAATGTGGCAAGGATGACTGAGTTGGTAAGAAAAAACATGATATTAAACTACTTTAATGGCTTTTTTTCTTTTTTTTTTTGGAGTTTTTTAGTAGTAATAATTCCATGAAAAATAAAAATGATATACATAATATAATGTTTCTTATTTTCCATATTTGATTGCGTAGTGTCAGTTGAGATTTTGCATGCTGAAGGATATCTCTAATTTGGATAACAAATTGTGAAGTCTAACAATTTATGATGTGCCTTAATTAGAATTTTGAAGCTTCATAGGTCAATCCATACTTCTCACAATTGATGAACCATGTGGCAATAAAATCTTTGAGGAATTTGCTTGACTATTTAATTTCGGACTCTTAAATAATTATTTTTCAATCTCTTTTTGGGAATTCATTTTCTTCTTAATTTACCAGTCATGTATTTTAATGATCTACCTTTTGTTGTATATCCTAACTATGTAGGGCAATGGACATATGGGCATTTCTCCCGCCCCGCCCTGCCTTATGCAGGATGAGGATTGCCCAGAAAATTAGGGACGGGAACAGGGACCAAAAAATTCCCTGTCCCTAGGGATGGGAATAGGGGACTCCCTGCCCCAGGTCCACTAAATTATCACACTGCCCTTGATATATTTAAATAATTACAGAGATGCCCTCCATCTATATACCCATTTTTTCCGCACAACCAACCCTAATTACATTTTCCGCCACTCAAGTATCCTTTCCACACCCAAAGGCCACAGCCAACATTGTCACGCCGCTCAAAATACATGTCTTGACCCTCATTCTCACAGCAACACCACCATCGTGCTTGATTGCGCGATCGATCGCGCCAGCACCTAGCGAAATCTTTGTTTAATTTCACGTTCTTCTCTGATCTCTGCGTTTTACTTGCTTTTTTGGCTGATCAATTTCACGTGTTGTAGCGAGCTAACTTAATCCAGCTCTTAGTGTGAACAACTGATTTTTCTGAATTTTGATTTATTTTGTTTTGTTTTTTTGTGGGTTCTCAGTTGGTTGATTACTGCACAAACTTGTGGTTGTATCAGTTGAAGTCCAATAAGTCAACTTTGTTCAGTGGCATCTTTATTTAATTTACAATAAAAATTTATTATTCCGTACACGTTTAACATTACAGAATATGACAATTTTAAAAAATTGATGTTTGTCTTAACCATAACATTTGTAAGTTAAATAGTTTATTAAAGTAACATCCTGAAGTTTGATACAAATAGTTTATTCCCTCAATTTTAAGAAAAAAAAAAAAAAAAATTGTCACACCTAAACAGTACTTTTGTCAGCTAAATGTAACAGCTTAAATGACATTTCGTTCAATCAAAATTATAAGGGATTCATTCAAACTTGCAAATTTGAGTAATGACTGAAAATTTTGATCAAACGACTAACAATTTTGGCCAAACAGATACTAATTTTAAATACACAATTAATATTTTCAATCAAACAATTGATCATTATGGTATTATTATAATTTATTTAATGTAAAAATATTAGTCATTTGAAAAAAATCAACAACCATATATTCAAAAACTGACAAATCCTCTTTTTAAGATTATCATTGTTAATTTCTCAAAATTGTAATTGATTTTAAACCAATTGTACCAGCTATTAGTTTTTCTCTTATTATTATTATTATTATTATTATTTTATCATTGAACAACCCCGTGTCAGCTTCCATCTTTTTTTCTTTTTTTTTATTCATCTAATAATAAAAAAAGGAGAATGTTTATCCTTAAGTTTTGTTTGGTTCAGAGAATCTTGTAATACTATAAATGTTATATTAATGGAAAGATAAATTACCTTAAAAATTATTGGAAATGTTTAGGAAAATGTGTTTGGTTGGTTTGAATAAATTGATGGGTATGTTATATTAATATGTTTGGTTGGGAGGAATAAATTAATAGTGTATATTATATAATTTACTAAATTGTCATTATTTTTAAATATTAATAAAATATGTTTTTTGAATATTTTTTTAACCCCTTACGTTTGAAATATTGCTAAAACATCCTAACAACAAATTTTTTTTAAAACTTAACAAAAACAACCCCCCGAAGCCACTGTCGGCCGCCTGCCACTACTGGCAGGCGACAGTGACCGTAACAGCACACAACCAACTAAATATGATCGATCGTGCACCGATTTGGCCATTTCTGACTATATCCTTCATGGATCTGGCTAGAAATGGCCAGATCTATGGCCAGAACTGGCTGTCGTTAACAGCCAAAGTTTTGGTTGTTGACGGCCGGAGTTCTGGCTGTCTAGCTGTTAATGGCATGTGATCCCATACAACCCCCAACCAAACACACCCGTAAAGCCATAAAATATTCCACCATATAAACCACACATGTGAATAAAAAAATATTAAATTAATCATAAATTATCACGTGTTGAATAATTGATTGGGACCACCAACTGTGATCTATAATATGTTTTGTCATATTAAAATTAATCTGATTCACAAACTTTTGTTTTAGTAGTAATAATATAATAATAATACATCTAAATACACTTTTGGGGGCTATAGTTTACATAACAAGGGATATAAATGTTCAAACTCATCTATAAAGTTTATATTTGTCAAAACGTGAAATTTGATGAGACTTATTTCTTTTTGCTCATAAGTCTTGATTGGCAATAAATATGATACAGTTGTGGCTATAACATAGAGGGTTTTTTTTTTTTTTTTTTTTTTTTAAGTCACATTAATTGACTTAAAATGCATAAATGATTTTCCTTTTTTTTTAGAATACACCGATTTTCACGTTCTTTCCTTATTTGGTTCACTTTAAGAAAGTAAGCCTAAAGCATCGTACTTATAATTTCAATGTGCATAAATAATTCTTTCAACTCTTAAGAACTCTTTTTGATTGCAGTCCATGGTACTTCCACTCTTCATTTATTTACTAAAGAAATTGATTATAATTGTTAAGAACAGTACCACACCATTTTTAGGCGATCAGCCAATTACCAACCTTCCATTTGGCCCCATGATTATGATCAATCACTTACCAGTAACTATGTGGTATATTTCTGTTGTCAATTAACTTATATTGCTTATACTGATAGAAGCATATGGTTTGTATCTGTATTTAATCTAACTCACAAACTTTTGTTTTGTTTAGTTATCGCACTACACGAATGTCCAAGTACAGTCTCAATATAATAATAATTCAATTGAATTATTGGGTGATAACATGTTACATGAATTTTTTAAGCCATACCTCCAAAAGTATTTTTGTTGCCTATTGTTTGCATCACATGGGATATCAATGTTCAAACTCTACTGATAAAGTTTAAATTTGTCAAAACATGAAATTTAACGAGTCTTATTCTCCTTTTGCTCACAAGTCTTGATCACCAGTAAATATGATACAGTTGTAGTTATATCACAGTTTCCAGTCCCATTAATTGACTTAAAATGTATAAATGATTTGCATTTTTCTCGAATACACCGATTGCCACAGTCCTTGATTAATTTGACGTTTGGTGAGAGTTCCCTTCCTTGGTTTCGGTGTGCATGGTACTTCCAATCTTCATTTCAATGTGCATATATAATTAATTTAGATTAATAAAAAGGATCGTTTCATTTGGTTATATGGAATAATATTGAATACTTTAATTATAATTAGTTTCGAAGGTTTAATAGTTTTTAAAAGGGAGAGCGACATTTTTCCCACCCAAGGTTTGGCAAAACGACACTTTCCCACCAGTCAAGTTTGAAAATGACACTTTCTCACAATTCGTTAGGTTCTGTTAGTATTTTCTATTAATATTTATCTAAAAAGATGAAAATACCTTTAAATAGTTTATTATCAATTAAAATTTAGTTAAGTTAAAGTGTTTACTCATTATTTATTAGTTTAAGTATAAAGATATATATTTTTCCTTTACTTATTTAATTAATTAGGAATATTGATTTTCTTTATTAATTAGTAAAAATGAAAAACATTATAAATTTAGTAGATTATTGAATAATAGTGATGAGATATTAATAACATCATAAATAAATAAATATTAAGGTCATTTAACTTTAAGCAATTCCATAACATTACTCCTAACTTTTTATGTGGGGTTAACTGTTATTTTTTTTTTTTTTTTGACTTTTGGCTAATTAAAAAATAATAAAGTCAAATATTTATAAGTATTTTCGTATTTTCAGTAAAATATTAACATAAAATATAAAAGAACCTAACAAAGGGTGGGAAAGTGCTGTTTTGCCAAACCTTGGGTGGGAAAATATCGTTCTCCCTTTTTAAAAGGATTCACATGAAGAATGTGTTCTAGCTGAAAAGTCAACAAATCCAACGCATGCATGTCAAATAAGTAAATGAACTATTATTAAGAATCTCTGGGAAACATTTACTTAATGCTGCCATTTATTAAACGTGAACTTTGATACTTCTCACCAATTCAAATTTTTTCTAAGCTAAGTAAGTTTGTATATGTTTTCCTTCTGTTTTCTTCGTAAAATATAAAATTTTTATTCAGCACACTGTTTTTTTAATTCAAAAAACAAATTGTTTATGTGTGGCTCATTATAGGATAGTAAAATCAAGGAGTTCTTAAGTCCTAAGGTTGGCAAGATAGATGAAGTGACGGCGAGGTTTTAATATCTCACAGCGTTTTGTTAGAAAGTGTTAATATCTCACAATTCATATCATTTCGTTAAAAATTATTAGTTTGTATCATAATTCACAAGGGATATACATAGTCAGACTCTATTTGTAAAGTTTATATTTGTCAAAACGTGAAATTTGATGAGTCTTATTTTCCTTTTTCTCATAAGTCTTGATTGACTTAAAATGCATAAATGATTTACTTTTTTTTAGAATACATCAATTTCCACGTTCTTTCCTTATTTGGTTCACTTCAAGAAAGGAAGCGTAAAACATCATTTATTTACTAAAGAAATTGATTGTAATTTCAATGTGCATATATAATTCTTTCAACTGTTAATAACTCTTTTTGATTGGCAGTCCATGGTACTTCCACTCTTCATTTATTTACTAAAGAAATTGATTATAATAGTTAAGAACAGTAACACACGATGTGTATAAATAGAGAGAGGCATTGGGAGTGCAACTACAACCTCATACAAGCCATTCCATCCAACACTTAGACCTGAAAAACCTTCCTACATCAAAATGGCTCTTTATTGTAAGGTAACTTCAGCGCCTTCATTAACTTTTAAAAGATTGTCGCCTTTAAACAGCTCCTTAGTTGGATCATCCAGTAACATCGTTACTCGAGCTAGTAGATCAGTACTCAAATGTATGGCTGCAACCAAAATGTCTGATGAAACCATTGTTAGACGATCAGCCAATTACTAACCTTCCTTTTGGTCCCATGATTATGTTCAATCACTTACCAATAAATATGTGGTATATTTCCGTTTTCAATTAACTTTTATTGCGCATATTGTTCACATAAGTATTTATAAGTTATTAAAACTAATTAGTTCCGAGATATGCAGGGAGAACCGTTTACCAAACATGTTGAAGAGCTTAAGGAAGAAGTTAAGCTGATGCTTCATTCCGTGGATCCTTTACATCAACTAGAGCTCATCGATGACTTGGGAAGACTTGGAGTATCTTATCACTTTCAGGATGAAATAAAGAGAATCCTAAGTGAGATACACAACAATAATTCCAGCTATTATAAGCAAAGAAAAGAAAGTTTACATGCAGTAGCTCTTGAATTTAGACTTTTAAGACAACATGGCTATGATATACCTGCAGGTACATAACATATATCTATAACACACACTAAAAGTTTCGATTTTTATTCATTTATAGACAATTTCTACCAAATATAAAATTTATTGGATACATGAGATTCTTTTACAGTGCAACATGATGGATCATGAAAAGGTAATTAATTTCCCTTTAATTCTTGCATCCTTTTTCCAGAAATTTTCGACAATTTCAGGGATGAGAAAGGAAATGATAAGGTTTGGGATAGAATCTGTTTATATGAGGAACAGAGACCTCCAAGAACAAGAGATAGAAAGACTAATTGACAAATTTCTTTATTGATTCTCACAATCTATATTTAGGCTATTATATAGCCTTACACTTAACTCTATTGACTCTAAAAAAGACTATAATTATAAAAGAGATAATAAGATAATCCTAATTCTATCATAATAAGATAATAATATAATTATAAAAGATAATTATAAAAGACTTAACATAATCATAAAAGATAATAATAAAAGACTTAACACACTTATCCTAATCCTAACAGGAAACTTCAGGCCATGCCTCAAAGATGATTGCAAAGGAATTTTATCTATGTAGGAAGCTGCATTTCTTTTGAAAGAAGGAGAGAACGCTATCTTTGATGATGTTAGAAATTTCACAACCTCCTACCTCAAGGAATATGTGAAAGAAAACAAAGATCAATATCTTTCCACTCTAGTGAGCCATGAATTGGAGCTTCCTTGGTACTGGAGGATGATAAGATTGGAGGCAAGGTGGTTCATAGATGTATATGAGACAAGACCTGACATGAGCAGTATCGTGCTTGAGCTTGCTAAACTCGATTTTAACATGGTGCAAGCAACGCACCAAGAGGATATGAAGTCTGCATCAAGGTAAGAGGCTAGCTATACCTAATTAAGAGCGGGTATAGTTGTTGCTTTAACATCTAAACATGAAACTACAACATAAATATAAAAGCAATTAATAAACTAAAATCATTGGAACTTCTTATTTATCTTTTATATATGATGATGTTCTTTTTCATATAAAGGAAGTGGAAGAAGATGGGTCTTGGAGATCAATTTAGTAGTTTTGCACGGGATAGTTGGATGGTGAGTTTCTTTTGGGTTGCCTGAATGATTTTCGAACCTCAGTATGGATATTTTAGGAGCATGACCGGATTGGTCTATGCTTTGATTACGATTAGGATGATGTGTATGATGTTTATGGCACTGTGGATGAACTTGAACTCTTAACCGATGCCGTTGACAGGTTGGTGCCAGGTCACGCAAGTTTCGATCGATACACATATTTATTTAATTCTACAGTAGCTACTTCCAACATGAAATTTTTATATATAATTTGCGTTGATATTTAGATGGGATGTCAATAAAATTGACCAACTTCCACACTATATGAAGATATTTTTTCTTGCTCTCTATAATTTCGTCAACGAAATGGGTTTTGATGCTGTCAAAGAGCATGCAGTTGACATCATTCTTTATCTAAAAAATTGGTAATTAATTCAGTCTCTTTATGTAGAATATATTATGAACATGATTTTTTAATGTTATAGATTTATATGCGATTCATATGATTGATATCATTATAAATTGTTTCAGTGGGCTGATTTATGCAAAGCCTGTTTATTGGAGGCAAAGTGGTACAAGAATGGCTACACCCAACCCTCCAAGAATACATGGCCAATGCATGGATTTCTATAGGAGCACCTCTTGTACTAATTAATTCCTATTTTTCAAGTACAAATCCTTTACCAAAGGAGCCCATGAAATACTTGGAAGAATATAACGATATAATTCATCAGTCATCAATCATTACTCGACTTGCAAACGACATGGGGATTTCAGCTGTAAGCTTTATATATATATATACTTTTCTTTAAACATTTTTGACATGTGCTCACATATTAATCTATTTTTTATTAAGATTTATTTGTTTATTGTACATCTTTTTTGTAACCGTCAATCATAAATTTGTCCCTCTAGGTAAAAGCTCAAATCCCAAGAGGAGTTCATAAACTCTAATTGTTTATAAAAAAAAATTTACCACTTCTTGATTATTTGGTAAAATATTTGCTTCTATGTTTTTTTTTTTTTTTTTTCAAATTTAGCACGACATAGCAAGAGAAGATGCTCCTAAATCTATCCACTGTTACATGCATGAAATTGGAGCGTCTAAAGAAGAGGCTCGTGAACACATATAAGAAATGATTGTTGTAGCATGGATGAAGATGAACAGAGATCGACTTGGAAACCCTCATTTTGCAGAATTTGTTACAACTTCGATGAGCATAAGCAGGATGTCTCAGTGTGTGTACCAATATGGAGATGGGCATGGTATTCAAGACACGAGTAAAGATCTCATAATGTCATTATTTGTTGATCCCATTCCATTAATTAATGGAGATGGTTACAAGAAATGATGAAAGTTGAGATAACTTTCTTTGTCTTTTGTCTTTTATTTTTAATCGGAGAGAATAAAAATGTATTGCTTGCTTTTTTTTTTTTTTTTTTTTTTTTTTTTTTTTTTTTCATATTCGTATTTTTTAACTATGCGAGGGGCCTGGCATCGTAATAATTCTACCTAGAAAATGACTATTATGATGTTGTTGCATCCTAAAATATATGTTCTGACGTTGTGGGGCGTCGAAAAAAGGCTCATATTCTGATAGCAGAGTCGGCATCAGAATATCCTTCCTCACATTAGTTGTAAATTCTTGTAGTGTAAGCTGTACAATGAAAAGTTAGAGAAAATAAAATTGAATCCCTTTGTTATTATTTTCATCTTTTACTTCTCATCTAATTAAGAAGTGCAACAGGAGATACTTGTAGTTGATATAAACCATCTTTCAAGCTGCCTTGGAGAAGAATAGCTCTAGTAGTTTTATCCTTTATTAGTCAATGATTAGAATGCAATTCAACAATCACATCATTATCCTTTGTTATTTGAGAAATACTTAGCAAATTCTTTGCTATTTTTTTAACACATAACATATTCTTTAATTGTAACACTCTATAAGAGGAATTAGAAGGTATAAAGGACATACCTATGTGAGTGATGGGAACTGCCTGCCCATTTCCAACTTGAACTTGAGAACCTCCTTGGCAAGTGTGTGTGTGTGTGTGTGTCCTCCTTGGCAAGTGTGTGTGTGTGTGTGTGTATTATTGGTTGATACTAAGTGCACAACATGTCATTTGCGGTTTTTTGAGTCCTTGTAAACGACCTCAAAACGATTACTATTAGACCTTGCAAACTTGTACTCAAAATTCTTTTGTAATCCCAACTGGCTTAATCTGCATCTTATCACCCTTTTCGAATTATAAATCATTCCAACCCAAATACCCCTATTGTCAGTTGTAGAAGTGACATTTAACAGTAGGGTCATTGATGGCGAAATAGGCACCTCAGGTATGTTACATGTAAAGCCCCAGAGCCATGGGTGTTGGTCTTGAACTCAATTATGTAAAGCCCCAATATGGTAAATACTCCTAGAAGGGGGGTGAATGGGGGATTAAAAATTTAATACGGAATAATAAAAACCTCCAACTACCTAAATAAATGAATAATAAATAACTTCAAAGACAAACAATAAATGAACAAGTTAACAACAAATAATAAATGAGTAAAGAGAAGAGAAATGCTCATAGATTTTATAGTGGTTCAGAGCTTTAATCACAAGGCTCCTACATCCACTTCTTCAAGGCACCCTCCTTAAAGTTCCACTAGAATTGGATTTCACCAATACAATAGTTTTCACTAGATTTCGCTTATAGATTTACAGGATTTCACCCAAAGATATAAGACAAAAAATTTTGTGAATGATTGCCTCTGAGCTAGGCTAATACAGAATGGTTTCAAAGTTTCTCTCTAAAGATATTAGTTTATTACAAATGAGAGATTGATTTTGATCAAGAGTGAGCTCTAGGGTTTGCAAGATTGAATGTTGGCTAATGCACTAGTCTCTCTCTCTATTTCTTGCAATAAATCGTCATTTTAAAATCTTCACCAACACAGCTTTCGAAACTTTTGCGGATTTTAAGGAGCCAACAGTCCGACCATTCCTCATGGTAGAATGACTATTCGCAGTGGTGGTACGACCTTTTCTCGTGGTGGAATGATCATACCATAATTGACCGTCGGTGTCAAGAACGACCGTTTGCGATAGTGGAATGCTCGTTCCTTTGTGTCTATAGGCTTTTTCAAAACTGCATTAAATGGAGTAACGGCTCTTTTCATCCAAGGGAGAAGTCAAGCAATAAATAGGGCATTTCATTGCTAAGAAAGACAGAGAGAGATTCAAAGTATTATTCATATTTATTACCTATGTTTGTTGGTGTTGTATGTTCATAACTTGATTGGGTTGATGAAAGTTTTTATTCTGCAATTATTTTCAAAGTATCCTATTCAACCAAACCACACACCACCGCCAAAGCAGCACAAACAACGACAAAAACAAAGAAAAGAAACCAAACCATACAGAAAAGAAACAAAAAAGATAAAACCAACCCACCCCCCCCCCCCCCCGCGGTGCGCACCAGGTCGCCTCCCTACACGTGCCGCCCCCCCCCCACCCCCCCCCCAACCCGCGACTACTTTGCCATATAGGATTTTTGGTTGAATGTGAAGTGTTGCTAAGGGGGAATTTATGTTTATTTTTTCATGTTGATTTCTTTTTGTTGGTGATGAACTAATATGTTTTTGTGTTTAAGTTCCTTTTTTTTTTTTGGGCTAACTTATCTCTATGCTTGATAATGATAATGTTTTTCATGAGATATGTTTTTGTTTATGTTTCTTTCTCTCTTGTCTTTGTTTTTTATTAATAATCTTTGTTTGAGACAGGTTTGTGTTGATCATTTGATCAAGATTGTGCTTTATTCATAAGTTTGACAAAGAGGGAGATTGTGGGTATTTTTGTCAACTTATGAAGTAATGTGTGCATATTCATCTTTGATGTTTGCATATCTTTTGGTTAAGCACAATTGTGTCTTTTATTTACACATGTCATGACATTCTGAATTAATGTGTGCACATTTCCTTAGTCTGATTTTATCAAAAAATATGTAGACACATTAGAGTCAAATGTGTAAAAAGTCGTCTAGTCAAACCTTTCTACAAATGTTGAGTTTTCATTAGCTATTATGATTTTATCTAGAACTGAAATATGCGTGAGTGTCCATATATAAGTGTCAAATATTTCAAATGTGGTCCTAGAAATTTGTTTTGCTTTTTAGAAATGCTCCTAACAAATTGTTGAAAACTTTCCTTGAATAGCCAAACATGTGTAAGACTTTGTTAGCTGGTTGTCTAAGGAATTCTTGTTCAAGGATTCTATTTAATCTTTGTCATCCTTGCATTTACATTTGCACTTGAATATTCCACTTATTGTTCTATGAAAATCCTTAAAGGTTTGTTTCATTTTAGGTCAAGTTCCTTTGTTGCTTTTAATGCTCAAAATACACTGCTAATCTTAGTTGTTTGACTGTGTTGGAACATGGTTCCATTGATGAAAGCTTGAAGGGATTCCAAGTTGTGGAACTAAAAGGTGTCTTCGGCGTTGAAGCTTTAGTAGAGCTCGAGCTCTCCAGGAGGTGTCTTGGATTCAAGCAAGTTGTTGCAAGACAGTGGATCATCCAAAGGCTGAAGTTAGAGTGTTGTGAAAACATGGAGTGTTTTACATTTGTTTGCTTAACTTCAACTTTGTAATTGTTAAGCAGAGGTGCTGTGAGAAATTAGTGAAAAACAGAGGAGTTTATAGTGGGAACTAGAGCAGTTATTTAGTAGAAACTGGATATTTAGTTTAAGGGGAAATGTTAAGCAGAGGTGCTGTGAGAAATTAGTGAAAAACAGAGGAGTTTAAAGAAGCTGGGGTCTTGTTTGTAACGATTGTATAAGCTGCATGTACTAAGTGTAATTTCAGGATCTAAAAGCACTACCGTTTCAATTGGCTATATAAGTGCTAATGTACTATAACATAAATTAGTTTTTAATAAAACAAATTCAGATTCAGTCTTCTTTCGTTCTCCAGTAGCTTCTTCTGCATTTTTAGTTTCTTGTTTTCTTGATTTCTTACAAATCTTTTGTGGTATCAGAGCCCTAGACCAACGTCCAAGGGAAAAAATTCATCTTCGATCTTAAATAATCTTGACAATTTTAAACATGGAGGCTTATAACTCCAGTTCAAATCTCACTTCTTCAAGAGTTCCACCCCCCTTACCTGTCGTCTCTGTAAAACTGCTAGAGAAGAACTATTCGTTCTGGAGATCACAGATTCTGCCAGTCCTGACATCTCATGGTCTCGAAGGCTTTGTTACTGGTGAAAAAGAGTGTCCACCGATGATCCTGTTAGAGAAATTGACTGACTCAGGATAGACAAAGAAGAAACAAAACCCTAGCTACCTCACTTGGAAGAAGATTGACCAATTCTTGGTAAGCTGGCTTTACTCCTCAATCTCTAAATCCATGTTTAGGCATGTAGCAAAATTCACTACTTC